AGCCCGTGCATCGTACGGGTACCACACTAGTTAATAAAAATTATAAAACTCAAAATTTTATAAGAGAATGTTGATATTCAATAGTTTTTCTTTTTATATCAAATAAAATTGAGTATTTCTATTGGAATTTTTAGGAAAAAAATAATAAAGTAATAAAACTCAATATGAAAATTTATACTTATGTAAAAAGGCATCTCATTTACTAAAATTAGTAGGAAGAAAAGTCAAAGGTAATTAATGCATTCTAAATTTATCTTCTAAATTGCATGTATTAAAAATAAAAAATAATTAATTGCATGGATAATACATCCCACGGGTAAAGACTCCTCACATGCAACCATTATGCATCAAGTATATTTTGCATAATTAATGCCAAAAAGGGAAAAAAAAAAGAAAAAGAAAAATATCTTTTAGATTATACTATTATTTTTCAAATTTATTAACCCTGCTAATATATAAGCATAATTAGTTTTTATTATTCTGAATGAAATATAATAAACCATAAACAACTAAAAATCAATTTCCAAAAGAAAAGAATAGATAGAGAAATTATGAGTGCATCAGTAGTAGTGATATCATACAATTAAATAATACAATTTATTTTTTAAAAAAATATACAATTTTACTTTTTCTTTGAAAATATGCTTTAAATATATATATAGTACTTTTTGTAATAAGTTCAAATAAAATTTGTTACTTAAATATCTAAACATTTTAAAAATTCAAATATTTAAACTAATTGAAATATAATTTATAAATCTCTATTTTATTTACATATATAATTTTATTTAAAATAATTTTAAATGTAGCCAAATTTATTTAGAAAATCGTATCAATCCTACAAGTTCAACCGACTGGCGTTGGCGGATTCAATGACATATATTTTATTCAAGCGAACTAGACTGATTATAATCCGGTTCTCGGTCCATCCAGTCGACTGTGTCAAACACGGTTTAATTTAAAAACGATGTGTTAATCTTGATTAATTTATTTGTATATTTAATATATAACACAATCGTAATATTGTTTTCCCGTGCATCGCACGGGCCATGAACTAGTAAGTTTTAGAATGAAATAATTAAATGTGATAGGGATAAAAAAATAACCAATAGTTGAGGGGAGCAATTTAATATAATTTCATTCCCAAGGGGTCTCTAAATAAAACTCCAATCTCGATCTCCATTTCATTTTCTCCCCCAAATTCGCATTGCGTTTTCATCAGCCCAAACACAGAAAACAGCACCATAAGCGGAGAATGGGAGGTGGCCACGGCGATGGCGTGACGTACAGAGGCGTAACGCTGCACAGACCAAAGCGCTGGCACACTGTTACAGGCAAAGGCCTCTGTGCAGTCATGTGGTAAGGAATTGTCACGTATAAATTACATACAGCTGCTGCTAACACTGAATAGTCATCGTGAAATGGTTGGCTGGATTTTTTGATTATTTTCTTTTGGACGTTTTGATCTTCGTGTATCGTCGAGTGAAACTGATTCTGGTTCGTCGTTTTTCGTTGGATTTCGTCGGATTTTTTATTGTATGATTTGTTGCTGAATGATGTGTGATTGATTAGTGTGTGAGCATCGTGTACTCAAATTGCTGCTTATAGCCCTATTTGTAGAAATCTACAGAGGAGTTACGAAATTTGGGGAAAAACTTTTAGAACAATTTTTATTCCACCATTAAAATGAGTTCGTACATGCATGCTGCTACACTTAAGAAGACACTCAAAGCGACGCCGTATCGAGCAAAAACACAAAAAACAAAACAAAAGAAAAAGGAACGAAAAATGAGCACGATTTATTTAGAAAAACACGACTCATATGAACAGAACGACTAGGTCGTTATAACAGAAAACCAGAAGAGTGAATCACATTTCTACACCCACTCCTCAAGTTGGAGCGTGGGAAAGGTGACAAACGCCCAACTTGAATAACAAACGCTTGAAACCAGCAACTGGCAGCAGCTTGGTGAAGAAATCAGCAAGTTGTGAAGTAGAATGAACATAGGTTGGTTGAACAAACCCGGCCTTATACTTGTCCCTCACAATGTGACAGTCGATCTCCAAGTGTTTTGTGCGCTCGTGAAACACGGGATTTGCTGCAATGTGCATGGCAGCATTGTTATCACACCGTAGTGGAATTGGTAAAGGAGGAAGAATGTCAAAGTCCTTGGTAAGTGAGTAGATCCACTGTAATTCACACACAGTAGTGCCCATGGACCTGTATTCAGCCTCTGCTGAGGATCTGGCCACAGTAACTTGCTTCTTGCTTTTCCAAGACACAAGACTATTTCCCAGAAACACACAATAGCCTATGATGGACCTGCGTGTGTCCTTACAAGTTGCCCAATCTGCATCACTGAATGCACTTAGGGTTGTGTCTGAGGTAGAGCTGAAGAAAAGTCCAAGATCAAGTGAACCTTTTAGGTACTTAAGAACTGATATAGCTGCATCCCAATGCTCACTGAAAGGATTGTTCACAAACTGGCTTAATTGTTGG